AACAAATATGAAGTTGAATAATTTCTTTTTCTGTCCTGTAACAACAAGCTATTTCTGGGAAAAGAAACTTAAAATTGTTTTGTGTCAGCATTGTATGTGAAGCTGGCTTCTGCATTCAGGAGGAGAAAAAAAAGACTGGAAGGCAGAAGGCAAAAGAATAAAGTAGTATTTTGCATTCTTTCTCTACATGACATGTCTATGAGCCACTTAATTCTGTATCTGTGAGGAGTTTAAAAAAAAAAAAAAAAGAGACCCTCATAACAGAAACAAAACAATGAGCCAGCTTGAGACTTGAATCATAAATTAATTCAGGGATTTCTACAGAAATTGCCAGTGTACATACTTGGAAAATCCATTGTGCAGGATGTGTCTTCCTCTAGTTTGCTTTGGCTGATCAGCTGCGTGAATGCAAAATGTTTCAAGTGGAGGCTCAATGGGGACTGAAGAGGTCTGATCCTAGTGAAGTGCTAAACTTGAACAGATCTCAGCAGAGCTCAGGTTTCAGCTGAGGAGTCAGGAGACATTCCTGGTTCTCCTGGTTGGAGGCGTGGAGCTGAGAGGGGGGCAAATGGATGTGAACTGTGCTGACAATGACACACAGTGATCACAGTAAACTTTAAAGGAATTAATTTCCTGTGTGGGAAGGGAATGCAGCAGTGAATGCATACTCACTCTCTCCCCTGCACCACACCCCTCTTTCTCTCTCTCCCCAGGCTCTGTTTTGTAGTGACCATAGGGATCACTGTCATTATAAATAAACTTAAATTCTAATTTTGAAAAGAACTGTTTCTCCAGTGGCCTCAGAAATGTTATTCTATGTTTCCAATCTTATTGCTGAAACAGTAAGCTAATTTCTAAGGCATCAAGAAACATGATATTTGGTTCTCTGAAGGTCTTGGAACACCATTTCTCCAAGAGGAAATGATCCACTTGCTAACTAACTGCTCAGTGTCACCCCTGTAAAGATTTTCCTTCTTGACAATGAGCAACAGCAGAAGGATTCAGATCAGAAATGAAAAACCAACATCAATAAAATAGTCTAGCCTATAATGATACAGAATAAATATATACATAAATATATATAATGTGTGTGTGTGTGTGTGAGATGTTAATTATGAAACAAAACATCCATCTAGAATTTCTTTGTTTTGTTTAGGCTTTTTTAAGTTTGGACAAATGGGAATCTGGAAATCACTTTACCGTTGCCAGTATGTATTACTATCTGTTTCTGGGTTTTATTGTATTTCCTTTTCAGCTGTGATTTGTGACCATTTGCATTTTTGCTGACAGGTACTAAGGGTAAGTCAATATTTATAAAGTACTTTTTCCTATGCCTTCCTTTTACTAGAGACTTTCCCGGTTGTAATGAGCTCTTTTTTCAGAAAGTGAAATACAATTTGGGTGCACATGCCAACAATAATTGTACTTGTCAAAAGAAACAGATAACATTATAACTGCCTGAAATTTAATCACAAGAAATGCGATAATTCATATGGGAAATAATGTTTTATAATTTCTTTCTTTCCATGTGGTTTAGAGAAGTTAAGGGGGAAAAAATTATTATTTTTACGCCAAGCATGCAGAATGGCATAGAAAGCCAATTTAATGCAAAGCTTTTCAAATGTGTTGGTGTTTCCTGCCAACAGAAACGTACCTGAGACTACAACAATAAAAACACTGTATGAGAAGTTGGAAAAAAGTAATTATGTTTAATAGCTGTATAATATACTTCATTTGATTTCATTTCAAATTTTAAGATTTCTCTTTTAAATTTTTGGCATTGCTGGTGGGAGCAAGTAGCATATATAATAACATTGCAGCTGTGAAGTGTGAGATCTAGTTCTGTCATTAATGTAGCTGGGGTAATTTATTACATCAGATTTGTTCCATATTGATAGCCATATAAGTGAAGTTTGAATCTGGGCCCGATCTTTTATAGTAAAATCCACTGTAATTTTAAATTCTGCTTTACAATAACAACAGTCAAATTATTTTTTAACAGCATCAGCCCATTGCTCTAAAAGTGAAGAAAAAACCCTCCAGATCACAAACTCAACAAAACTAATCAAACAGTAAAACCGATCTAATCAATCAAAAAGTTATTAACAAAAGATTTTCTCATTTTCACATTCTTAATTATGTTTTTGTACCAACCAAGATGTGTTCTTACTATGTTGCTTGGAGAGCCTCATAACCAGGATGAAGGTAGATCTTTAGAGACAGACTTTAGATGTGTGAGCCTGGCTAGAGGGAAGAGCAGAGAGCTTGTGTGCTTGGTCACCCTGCAGAAAGCCTAGCTAGAGCTCCAGCAAGGGTCAGGCACAATGGCTTAGCTCTGAGCCTGCATTTGCAGGCTAGCTGCTCCCAGCCAACATCTTGGTCATCTGTCATCCTCTGGTGGTATTTGGATAACTTTTGGTATCCCTGTGTACTGGAGGCATCTTGGTTAGCAATAGGGAGTGGCTGATTCTCTTGAGATGTGTCAAAAAACTTTGGAAAGAATGGGTAAAAGTACATTAATTACTCAAGTACGTATCTAGATTTTGCAATAGCCAGGATGAGGATTTTTATTCCATTTGGACTCGTGTGTATGTGCATTTGGTTTGTTTTCTGTCAGTGTTCTGCAAAGCAATAATCCCATTGCTCAATCCAAATTAAATACAGGAGAAGAGTCAGTAAGTTGTTTGTCATAGTGTTCCTCTCAGAAATACAAAGAAAGTGAATATGTTGTTTTGCCCTGGAATGATTTGCTTGAATTTGGTCAAGGAGCAATAGGGGTAGTCCATGTGGGTTGGAACTGAGACTCTACCTACTTTTCTTTATACATACTGATGTGTCCATTTGTCCTGCAAATGGGAAACTTAGCCATTCAACAGTCCCTTGAAGTTTTTATGGTTGTGGTGTTCCCTGCCTAGAAATGGAGTTCTGGAGTGTAGTGTGGAAATGAACAGCAACAGGAGGTTTTAATGAAAACAGGCCGTGTCAAAGAAAAGAAGGAAGTTTAAAATGAAGATGATTATAAATGCAATTCAGAATAATGAAAATATATACTTTTCATCAAGGTTGATAGAGATTTCTTTGCCCTGCTAGGAAAATTATCAATGTTCAATGGCAGGAGACTCTTTGTACTCAATACTTGCTAATGTGTAAAGAAGGAAAATGGCTTGTAGGCTGAATCTCACCCTACTCTGCTATAAATTCTTGGTTTTGTTCAACACTAAAAAACCACAGAAAATTCAGAATGAGACTATTTTTATACTTTCATTTTTATTGCTAGATAAAAAAATATGAACAATTGTACATGAAAACAGTTCAACAAATTGATAAATTTGAGAATTGGTATGACCATACCACCCTAGTTTATATTTCAAGAGAACTTTTCTAAGAGCAAAGTTTCCTGCTTCAGAAAGAAGGTCACAAGCAGTATACAGTGACTTCGAGTTGATATGCTAATATATCGCTAAAGAATCCAGCAAGTAATTCTGAAGAAACCAGCTATTTATACTGCAATCTCATGAAGCAAGACTTCTGGAGATGTAATCTACAAGTTTTTGAGCTCTGCACAAGTACTAATCATCAGAAGAGCTCAACAGCTCTGTAATTTTTCTCTCTGTGGGTTCCCACGGTATATTAGTAAGGTGATTCATTAAATAAGTCAGCTACAGGTTTAGGATTATAAATATGTGAGCTAAGAGAAAATATTTTAATCATTTTCCTCTGTATTTATATGTAGCTGTATTTACTATTGAATTTGAAGAGCATAAACCTAGAGAACAGTATCTCCTGTAAAACATAGGCAATCTGATTTATCATCAATAAATTTCACATTGTTGCAGAAATTATATTACAATGTAGTTTTATGTAAAGCCAAAATGAAACCTCCTTTAGTCAAGCAAAAGCGTATAGAAAGTGAGTATAAAGATTAAGCCTTTGCCATTTCATCATGCTTTGGATTCTTAAGCTTTATTGCTATGACCTCATTTTTCAAAGAGACATCCACAGTGCTCTGTGATCTATTTTTCATCATTGTATCCAGTATTTAAGATACCACTTTTACTTTAAGATACCCCTAACTTTTACTTTGTCACATGGTTATTAATTTTTTTCATCATTTTTGCTTCTATCAGTGACTTCTGAATTAGTTGCAAGTGACGCTTCTGATGTTATCACACTGTTGGCAGTGTTGAACTTCTGTCGTGTTGGGTGTAGACACCAAGGGTGTAACAACACTTTATGAGAGAAAAGAAGTGGAGGAATGTGTGTGTGTGATTTTTAAATGCATCATATGCACCCTGAACTATGCCCTGTGTGTTTTGAATAATGACACTCATTTCTAGTCAGCTGCTACAGAATATGAAGAAATTCACAAATGAAAGAATTGTTATTAGAAATTTCTCCTTCCATACCGAGATGAGAAAAAGCTTGCTGTTCCACCTGTTTCCCAGCTGGTTTGGGAGAGCAAATATGAACTGCTAGAGCTCAGGGAGATATCAAAATTGATTTTTAAGCTATTTCGACAGTTTGAAAATACATTTAACTGGATCACTAGGAAACTAAATTAATTTGGGACATCAGTAAGTCCATTAAAATTTCTCTATCTATTACATAAAGCAACAGGGAGCAAGGGCATCTAATTTAGACCCACATATTTTAAATTCAGCAATAAAAAGTGAAAGACTGATTTTTTTTCCATTTCTAATGCCTGTTGGAAGTAGATAAAGGAGAGCTTCATGTGTTTTCCATCCATTTGTATTCCTTCCTCCTATTACCTCTAAGTTGTTTTAGGATACTGTGTTCCATTAAACAGTAGGTCTTCCACAAGGGTTACACAGTCTTTTCCAACCTTTTTCATAGGTGGACTGGAATAAATGCAAAGGGATCTTTCTCTGGAGAATAACAAACTCCTGCATGGGAGTATGAACTTCTCCCCAGGGAACTGAAGTAGGCAAAAGGAGTGCAGCACTTGGCAGGAACAACTGGCATATGGAACCTGGAGAAGTGAAGAAGGAGACTTGAAGCTGGTTAGCTTTGTGTATGAGGGTAAATTGAGTTTTTTTTAACTTACTTGACAAATAAAAATACACTGTGATTTTCTCCTCCATTAAATAAAGATCCTTCCAAGAAAGTGGGGGAAAAAGCAAGGTGGGCATTTTTAGCAAGTGAGAGATGTGCATATGAGTGTGCACACACACCATCAGCTGTGTGTGTGTGCAGGCTGAGAAGGGAGACAGGGCTCTGCTCTCAGTTTTCCCCTCAGCATTGGAGAGATGGTGGATGTTGCCTAAAGAAACTTTGTAGCCTGCACATCTCATGGGTAACCTTTGATATCTTTAATTTAAAGATGTTTAGAATAAAACCAGAAGTCCAAATAGCCTTGTGCAATTTAAATATTCAGAACTGGATCTAATCCAATCTTGAATTAAGACTTTCAACTGTCCTTGATTGACTGATCAGCTCTGACAAAAGAGAAGAATCTCTTAATTTGTGTTATTAATTAATGTAGTAAAGACCAAATCACTTTCCAACTATGTAAAAAATTATCAAAGAAGTAAAAATAATTTTGGTAGAATAGACATAATTTGGGTAAATTATTAAAGAACTTAAAAATAAAATTTAAAATAATTGGAGAATTAAATAATAATTTAAAAATCCCTGAAGAAATGAGGAAAACCTCATCTTTCAGGACTGTGATTCGCAAGATGTCCTTTCAGTGATGGAAAGCTCCAAGGAAGGTAAAGCAAATTTTATGGCAACTTCTGAGATAAATTCTTTGCAAATCAGATAAACCCAGATGAATAGCCATATGCAATTGTAATTAAACAAACATATCCATGCCTTCTAAGTGTTTAATGCTGGGATGAGCCACCTACCTAACAGTGACAGAAGCAGAGCACAACATTACAGTGCCAACAGGCTATGATGGTAAGTGGCTGGTGATGTCAGATACTGACTCTGAAGAGGATCTTCTGAGTAGAGCTGTGAAAAGTTTTGATATCAGAGCTGTGTGAAATGTTGGTCATATTTTAAAAGCAAAGTAGAGCTCTTAGGTCTGCCCTGACCCAGGACAAGCAAGGCTGATGTCCAGGTGACATACAAATATGGTGAGTTGTTCCGTTCTCATGGACCGTTTGCTAATGGGATATAATCTAATTGCATACTCCTTTCTTCACAATGCAGGGATTATTGTCCAAGATCATTGTCTCCCAGATCAGCTATTTTGAGAAAACAATGCTTTTTGGTTTAAAAACTTCATATCATATTTTGATCATAACTTACATGTAAGTTTAAATAAAAAAAAAGAAATAAAGTTTGCTTTTTTTGGTGCTTGGATAAATATAGAAATATTTCAGTGTTCAACTTCAAGTGTGGAGCTACCAGAAATTCAGTTTTGTAACTTAGGCTCATCTTACACATTATTCACAGTAACTCTCTACTTCAACTATTTTTCCTTTTGATGTAGAAGGAAGTGGTGCAAGGCTATCTGATTATTTCAGAGTGCTATTTCTTAGTTTCCCTTATCTATATTAACAGTTACATCTTCAAAGAACTTGAAGAAGAATGTGTTACCTGCTCATTCTGAACTCATCCTTGAACATGTTAGGTTTTTCAGTTTCCATTCACTACCAAAGCCATAGTTTCCTTTCTAAGAAATTCTCTAAAATTGATAGAAAACCTGTAGGTTTATGTTATAACCTGTCTTTACACAGTCAAAAAACAGTGCAATTGCATGGTATTCTCTCCCCCATCTGCAATCTCTTTGCTGCACAGCAGTCTTGCTGAAGGAAATACAAACGAGGAAATTCCTCATATACAAGGAAGAATTGTGAAATATTTCCACTAGGAAGACTCTTTTAAAATAATCTGTTTGTCCAATTTAATATCTCAGAAACTTCTCAAACTATTCAGTAAAGTATGCTCTGCTCTGCAAAGTGTATTTCTGTGATCAAACTGTGCTGCTTAAAAACTTTGGTTACCATCAAGTAGAAATCATTTTCAGCTTTACTCCCCCATCATGATAGTCTAAGAATGACATAAATTAAAATTTAGAATTATATTTTCAGAGTGAACTTTCTGTTCATGCTTTTTTTTCCTGCTCCAACAACTTGCTTTTTCAGCAGTTGTTTGGTATTTATGGGAAATTGGATATATCTCTGAAATGGCACCGCTGCAGTAGTTGGTGCCTGTAGCACTGAATACATACACCATCCCCAGCATCATGCTCCAGCCTGATAATTTAGATGGGAATATATCAGCTCTTTTATTTTAAAAGCTACCAATTTTTATTGGCTGCACACAAACTTCTTATGTTTTTATTTCAGACAAAGGGTTTCATAAATCAGGACTATAATTTTGACATTACTGTGATGGTGATCAGTGCCCCAGGTGACAACACTATTGTAACATGTGTGAGCTAGTAGGTATTTTCTGTAGCTTTCTATGCATCCTTCTTGTTTTTTTAATTTATTCTAAATTCATAGAATAAAGGAAAAAAATTCCTTTCATATTATCAGTGATGCTGGTTAAGTCACATGTTTCAGGTTTCAAATTGGGTATTTGTCTAAATCATGACACAGTCTAATGGGTAAAATATTTTTTTTTCCTTTAACATACCTTTTAATTGAATTTATGGCATTTACTCAGGATTCATTCAAGTATAAATCATAACTTTAAAACTTTTCCTCTTTTCTTGGAACCCCTTGCCACCTCCAGAAGCATCTAACAACAATAAAACCTTCTGTATCTTGTCTCCATATCATCTAAGAGTCCCTTATCTCCTCCTGACATGCACAATAGTGAGAAATTATTCACTTAGAAAACTAAATGGGATTGTTGGTATCTTAGGCACACTCTCTTCTCTGCAAAGGCTCAGTTAACACCAGTGAGTCACAGAAACAGCAGAGAAGGGGAAAAGTCAATTTTGCCATGGCAAGAGGAGGTGGAAACCCAGCCACCAAGGAATCAGATCGGACACCAGACCAAGGAAATATCACTTCCTAGGAACAGCTCCTGGTGTTCAGAACAATTTCATTTGTATACAGCTGTCTGCTAAAGTTAGAGAACAAATTTAGAGACTTCAGATAAAATTGATATGAATTTAATTTTAGAAATATCAGTGTCTTAAAAACTTTTAAAAATATAAAATGCATTAAATCTTCAGGGTTATTTAATTGGCTCTGCTAGAGGTTATAAATAATTATTTAGAAGCTTAATTTCACAGCCTTGAATATAGATTTTCTTTTTCTTTCTTGAAGTAACCTTCCTCTCCCCTTCTCCCCCACATAGGTGTAGCCTTCCTTTGAGGATTTTTAAGACAAAGATAGTTTAAAAATGGATATTAACTGTGTATGAGTAAATTATGATTGACCATCATCATCAGTGCTGTGTGTTAGATGCTGTTAGACCATGGGTTAAAAGAGAGATTTTCTAATTTCAGACACTTAAAGTGGAGAGGTAGGACCAGAATGGGGTGGAATAAGAGATGTCATTTATCTTTCAAATAGATCAGTTTAATGGGCATGTGGATTCACTGACTCAGTTCCACTTAGATGTACAATAATGTATGGAACTAGAATCAGGAGTCAAATGTCTTTTACAGCCTTGGGAGAGTTTCTTTTTTGTTTCAGAAAAGGAAGTAAAAGAAGTCACAAGTAGAGCAAGATGAAGTAAAAAGAGAAGGAATAAATGAAATATAAAATCCTATTAAATAGTAAACACTGTTATCTTTTTTATTGTTTCTGTTGTAAGAAAGGAACTAAAGCAGAGAAAAATAACCTGCTAAAAAGAAAAAAAAGAAACATAAATTCAGCATATTATGGTTTATAAAGAGCTGGTGCAGATAGGTAACTGTCCATGTTGGAAAGTGCTACAAAATATCTCTTTTCAGTTGTTGCATTTCCAAACTTTGTGATTAACATCCCTGTACAGAACATCATTCCACATCTCTTTACTAAACAAAATCTTTAGGATCAAATTGTTAGCTTGAATACTATTATGAATGAAGAAAGATGAGAGTATTTACACTGCAAATCATAGTTATTTCCCTAGCTGCCTTCTCGTTCCTGGAAGGACAGTAAATTGCTTTGGATCTAGGCTGCCTCAGTGTCTTGAGTGGGCCAATTCAGACTGATTTACTGATTTCTCTGCTGGTTTGCTCTCTTTGGCTAAACATAATCCTTGCTTGCCTTGGTGGAAAATTCCACATGGTTTCTCCTTCAGACTTTCAGGTACTGTAACCTACTCACCAGGTATCCCAAGAACTATCTCAAAATGAATTTTCCTGTTGTGCATCAGATAACAGTATTTGTCGTTTGTCATGCACAGCCCCTTCTCTGAAAAATCCATTTGGAATTGAGCTAATGGCCATTCAGCTGTGAAAAGAAATACAGCATAGAGCAATGGTAGAATTGATTGGACCATGGGATATCATCACAACCTGCATAAAAACAAACCAAATGGTTCAACAAGCAGCATGATTTAAAATCTGACCTACATTTACCACAACTTGGGAGAAAAAAATCTGGGGCAGTATAATCTTGCTATGAGACAATGCAATGAAAATTTTTTGAATAGCATTCTCAGGATATTTTGATTCTTTCCTAAGTGGTGCTATTTCTCTACTCAGCTGTCCCATTTTTCATTTTAAGAGTTCATTTACCCAGAAATATTTTCAGTTCTCTCTCTGATTTGTTTTAGCTGCAGGGAAGGCTTCTTCCTATGACGTTGTGCTCATCCTGAATGTTTCATTAGGTACTTAAAATACTCAACATGCAATAAACCTTTTCAAGGAGTGTATTGAAAAAAAACAAAAAACATTGATTAAACTTTTGTTGATTTCCTTTCGAATTCTGAATAATGGATTTTCTGCTTACTTTGTGATTCGCTTGCAGTGTTGTTTTACAAGTTCACTTTTGCTAACAAATCATATTTTTAGGCTGACAAAGTGCTCATATTCTTTGATTAGATCTCGTGAGCTTGGAGCTTTTTAAGTGGGTCTTGTGCTGTTGTCTGGGTTTTTGTCATTCTAATTGTGTTTCTTTCATTTTAATAACTGAAATAAGTTTTAAATCTGAATTATGTCCTGCCTTTTTCCTTCATTGTCTCTTCTGAATTGATACAAGTTCCTAGAATAATTTGTATCTTGGATTTTACACGCTTTCACAAGTCCCTTTTGTAATTTGTACATGTGAAGTACATGAATGCATAGAGTATAATGCGGTATGTATCTTATGAAAAAGAACAGGTGAAATTAATGCTAAATATATATTTCATTTTGAAACTGAGTCTAGATAGTATATTTTTAGGAATGCAAGATCGTAGCCAGGGATGATTGAAGTCAGTAAAAAACATTGTCATTCGGGGATTAATATTTTTTTCTACAATGTTTTAAAAGAAAAATTATTTTTAAACATTAACTGCTTTTACCAAACCATAGTCTAAAAGACATATTAAAAATTAAATTTTGCTTTTCACAAGTACACTTTTAAAAATGATAGTATTTACAAATATATGAAGTGCAGGAGTTTGTTGGCAACTCTAGCCTGTTTTATTATTACTGAAAAACTGCAAGACTTGAATAGCAGAATACAAAATAAAAGCATTGAATGTGATTTAAAGAATCAGCTGAACAAATAACGTACCTTGGATGAACTTTCTTTAACTGACAGTGAATCACTTTATAAATGATGCCCATTAAAATCACAATGAAAAGTCTTATCTTAAATAGAAGATGTGTACATAGTGGATACAGAAATGGAATTGATGACTTAGCTTCACTTGGTCTGTCTCTCCAGGAAGAAACATTGTGTTGCCTAATATCAGCTCCTTCCTGTGTAAAACTTCAAATAAAAGGAGAGAGGAGGAAATACTGTGTTTCATTTGAAAATATGGTATTAAAAATAAAATAGAAAGTTCTACAAGAAATAGGATCTTTGTACCAGGGTTAATGCACATTTAGAGATTAATACAGTCTTTAAAGTATTTTATAAGTGATTTTTACTTTTGAAACCTAGATTCTAAAGAAAATGAAATAAATGAGCAAATAAAATATACTTTTATGATAGTTTCTCCATTGATTTTCCATCAATATGCCCACAAATTGTAGAAATATTTGATTCCTTTTTTCAGTACTCAATAGTGTAGTGAACTAGTCTTTTTAGAAGAAATAATCACAGACTGTTGCCATGAAAACCTCCTTTAGTAATAACGATCTTATTTAGTCAGAAATTAAATAGCTTCAGTACTAGGACTTAGATTTAAATTACTTCTACTCTTGCCTACCAGTTGTCTTTCAAAATACCATTGTATATTAATTCCACAGCACTTGGATGTATCACCCTACATTCTAATAAAAAAATATTTTATGCTTTCTACCTCCATCTTAATTACATTCAAGTCTTCAAAGTAACTGATAGTTCCAGTGAAAATGTGGTTGCTACCACAGAGGTGAATTCAAGCTTTCCAGCTACTATGCATCTGCAGGTAACTCCTCTCATAAACAACCCACTAAACATGGAACAATCAGAAAACCCCAAAGAGTGTGAGTGACCTAGCAGTGTGTGCGAAGCCTTCTCTAACATACAACAGGCTGGAGAGAGAGCAAAATCATATGATTACATTTTCCAGCTCTTATCATACATTGTGTTAGCCAAATTGTGATCAAGGAAATGTTTACACAGTTCTCAACTGTTTATTGGGTTTTTTTCCCCTACCTGATGAGATAAATTCTCTGTGAAACAGATAAACAAATACTAGGTTAAAAAACATTAAGAACTGTTATGGTATAATGAAAAATGTGAAAAATAATAATTTTTATATTGTGCAATCCCGCTGTTTTTATGCTGATAATTATTGTATTTTTAAATTATATTTTGACAGGAAAAGCATGCAGCATGGATTTTTGTAATGTTGCATGGAAAACCCGAGCATCTTTTCAATAATATGCATATTTTGTATGTACATTATTGAATTTAGATTGAGTTACAAATTTGAAACATCTAAATTTGTTTTGGACTCTGACTATGGGATAAGTTTACATTGTTAATATGGATGTCATAATACGTTTTGAATCATGAAATACTGATATTGAAGGAAGAAATTTGACTGAATTGGGAAATAGAACTGGCTAACCATGTTTGCGCTTGGTTTAAGCTGTTTCCAAATGGTGTGAGGAAAAAATACAAATTGTCATTACATTTAAATAATAGTCATTGTTGAGTGTAATGCTGTTTAACTCTCTCTTACCAGCTGAGAGTCAATTTCTCCAGTTACAGTAACTAAAAGAATCAACTGTCTTATTTCTGCTAACAGCTTTCAGACTTCCTCTCCTCCATCTCTGTCACACAGTCTCTTAAGAAGACTTGCAAAGTCCTTGGCTTACAGATAACTTTGTTGTCTCAAGCAATGATATGCATGAGGTTATCTATGAAAGGAAAGACCATTCCTCTTTAGTTGGACAGTGGAATTGGAATTTGTCTTAAAATGAGAGTTTTTCAGGCGAAAGAAAAAGTAATCAAACCAATGACAAAGAGGATGTAAAGAGAATGACAAGAGATGAAATTATGAATAATCCTCAAAAATGAAACAGTGTAACTTCCTCTAAGATTGCAAGGCATCTTTTTCCCCTTTTTTACAATCTTGATAATACCATAGTTGACAGTCAGGAGCAAGAAACTCCTGGAGGCCAAGTTTTTGGGTTCTGAAAATGACCTTACTGAGGGGCTAATGGAAAGAAAGCTGAAAAATCCTGTGGTGGATGAGTACTTTTGGAGATTTACTGCTTTTCAGTTCTGCTCAGTCAAATTTGCAGTCTTCTGTTAAACCATAAGTCTTGATTAATGGAAAGTTTTGAGGATCTTTTACTTTGGCACAAACACAGTTTAATATTTCTTCAAAAGTCCTTAATTCACCTCCTTTACTTGAAGAAAACTGTCTGAGAGAAGGTCTTGTTCACAAACAATAATGCCCTTCAGAGTTTCGTTAATGTTCATTTGCAAGGAGTGTTTGTAAAGCTCAATCAATGAAGACTGCATTAGGTGAGACACTGAAGGGATTAAGGGAAAAGAGAGAAGTATGTATAGCACAGCTTATCTGGGAGGCAAAAAGCAGCTTAGTAGTGCTGATGTACTTTTTCCACTCTCCAGAAGTTGTTTGAGACCCATAGCTGTGGACAGAAGTTCAACAAGAGGCCAACATTTTGCTGTGCTTGAGTGGAAAAACCCAGGTCAACTCAACCTGATTGCATTACACGTGCCTTTCTAGAAGGTAAGCTGAGTCTGCTTTGCAGTTTCCTGTATTGTGTTCTGGAAGGATGGAGCTTGTTATTTAAGTGCTTAATACTGCATCCAGAATATCCAGAAGCTATATTTAGCAATGCCAACTTGAACTCTTGAGTTTGGTGTTTTTTACTGGCAAGAAAGAAAAACACACAGGAGTAAAAATGTGTATCTTAAAAATAGTGTTGCATTTTCAGAATCAGAGTCTATTTAATGAACAATTTAATGGAATTTCTGAAAATGGTATACTCATCTCCAAAGGCAAAATTTAGAATATTTTATGCAGCAAAATATAAATCGCACACTTGTAGTATGTTTTGCATTCTGTGATTGCTTTGAAGGAACATTTGTTCTGTGAGGACTATTCAAACTTTTTAGGTGTCCTATTAAAATCTTAGAGACTGAAGCATGCTAATCTTGAGCCAAAGAATAGGATGAGGGAGGATGGATGTGTTGCCTCTTTTAGCACCATGTTAGTGTCCAGGGCCACTGAGGAAAAGCACGTCCTGATAATAAAGTCACTGAATAGTTGGAAGAGGTATTACTTTAATGTAAAGAAACTGATGGACAGGTAGATCCTTTCTGCCATAAAGATGCACTTTTAAAAGTTGCATACCCTTCTGGCAGCCTGGAGGACAAAGTGCTAATACAAGAAGAAAGGAAAGAAAGAGCTTTAGACTGCCATTTTACATTTAAGCAAAATTTGTTGTATGAACAGCTTTTGGGATAAAAATTCATAGTTAAAAAAAAAAAAACCAAAAAACCAACTACACGCACAGTACAACAGAACATAGTATCTATAAACTAGCTGTTACATCTGTTAAAACCTATGCTCTCCAGCCAGGGAAAGACAAACAGGAATCTGGAAAGATCCTCAAGGTTCTACAATTACAGTCACATCTGTACTGGGAAATTCTGCCAGTAAACAGGTAACAACAGCAGGCGCTGATCTAGATGTTATATTTGATTTATCTCCTTGTTAAAAATGAAGGAAGAAATTTCTCAAGGGAAATTCTGTCAGGAGATTTCTGTGCCTACCATACCCTCACGTAGTTCACTGTTGGGTAGAAATGCTTCACCTGAAAAATTCAGGGTATTCTAATCCAAGGAGTCATACATAGTTCCTTTTCCTGTTAAAATTTTATCCCATATCTAGGCCCTTCCTCCCATGGTCCCCTATGACTTCCCTTTGCCCTCTCTGTTCTCTCAAAGGTAGATCCTGTGTGGCTCAAAGTGTTCCCATCTCCATTCTAGAAACAAGATGCATGGTTTCCATGGCATTTCAGTCATTAAACCACTATGTATTATCTTGGGAATGAGAAACTTGAAAGTAATTAAAACCTGCCATTGTTTCAGGTTCTATCATCAGACGCTTGGCAACTCGTTCTGCACCCTGTGAACTGGTGCTTCTAAACTTGTGGAAAACAGTTTGGCGGTATTAGGAAGTATTAACAATATAATTAAATATGTATGTGCAAATCATTCAAGTATGGAGCTTGCCTCATGGGACTCTTGAGGATGGAAGCACTACAGGATAGAGGGGAAACAGGAAACACTGTACTGATACATGCCAGTGCCTGAGTGGTTTCCACCAGGATGATAGTTGGGCAGATGGATATCACATATCCTCTGAACACAGAGAGACATAGCTGTCCCGAGATTTTCCTGGGAAGCTGTGAGAAAGCTCAGAGGATGAATTAAAACGTTATCTCTTTTTCTGTAACTGTTGTTTATAGACATGATTCTCCAGAATGTGCTATTTATAGTTTACCAATAGTGTGAGAGAAAATTCCTAAAGACCAATGAGGTCTTAGATCCCCCACTGTTTCTATAAGAACTGTGCATTTCTAATAATAATGTGCTTCTCATGCCTTCCGATGATGGAGTCACTGTATCACCTTTGTCTGTCCCCGGTACTCCTTTGGTGACAGATGGAGATTCTGAGTCCCATGGAAAGGTGTTTCTAAACAATGCAGAAAACAGCTAACACCTCCCAAGACATCAGAACTGTGTTTGGGGGTACATTGAACATGTCAATCCCTAATGCTCTTTTTGTGTGTTCAAAGTATTTCTGAGAGTACAAGTGAAGCACTGGGAGATCTGACTGATAGTAATACTGTCTTTATAGACCTTGTCTGCTGTTTCACAAATGGGGAATATGACATTGTTATAAAGAAAAAAGATTAAAATGTTAAGTGGAAAGAATAAATATAAATCTGACAGGAAGCTGCTCCTTCAACAGCTAGACAGAAGTTACATAAGCCTTTCATTTAGTGTGCTTCACTGAGGGTGACTTAAAAGAATGCCTTAGCGTCAGACATCCCTCATACATTGTGATGAAGCTCCAGCAGAGTCAAAAATGGGTAATCATTGTAATTGTTGGCTGTACTTGGATCAAGCACACATAGTAAATGATTTGCAAAAGCCTATTTTAAATTTAAGTTCTGATGCAGTATATCATTAGACACAAGCAATAACATTGCCCAGACACATTAAAAATAGCAGTCAAAGCTTATGAAAGTAGTTTTATATAAATTTCATATTTTAAAAAATTTGACTGTGAGCTTTTTGCTTAACCTTATACTATATTTGAACTCAGCCCTGTTTTCTAAGTGACAGAGCTAGTGACCTGACTGCTGTCTCGGTTTGGGTGGATGGCTTTGCTGCTTTGAAATATATTTCCTAGGCAGCTCAAGTGTAAACATTTCCACAGATGTGGAGGTTTTGTGGGTGTCTTTGCAGAATTTGTCTTTGCTGCCTGAAAATGTCAAACTATCCTGCTGCACTTCTCATTACATCTCCAGACTGGGCTACTTTCTCCAGGAAGCATTTCTTTTGATCTCGCCTCCTTTGCCAAGTCAAAATTATGACCTGTATATAAATTTTCCTTTTGTATGAAAGTGCATTTATTATTAACAATGAATTTGCTTTCCTTAAATCTTTCCCACTAAATATTATCTGTAGGAAATAGTATTAAAAAATGGTCAGTAATTTTCCATGAAATTGCCAACAACTTTAATATAGCATCTGATTATATGACCTGTATGTTTTCTTCATTAACAAGAAGCAGCCTTCCTCTTGCCATATAATCTGGTTTACTACACACACCTACATAGATCTATTAATTTGTGACAGGCTTACGCATCAAAAGATTGTTACATTTCTTGCAAAGCAGTTGCACATGCTTTCCAAGAACCTTAAGTAGATAAGCTGCTGTCACAGTTCTTTAATTCCAGCTTCTGCTGTCTTCTAAGGAAGCAGAGATTTGCAGGGAAGACTATGGGACTTGGGTCTGTCATCATGTTAGTGCAGGGTGATAGCACTGCTTGCTGCACTGCTGTAGCAGGAAAATGTCATGCCGAGAGGAAACACAGCTGATTCCAGAGACAGATCTGCACAGTGGGCTTCTATGGGCATTAAAATGCTGGTCCAGCACAAGAATCTGCTGCATGGCTCTTACTGACACCCTTGCATTATCTTTTCAAAGAACAGCAGTCCTGAAACATGTCTGCAGTCACACTGGGTGCCAAAAAAGAGCTTAGGAGAATTGTAAAGGCATGGGTTCTGGTATCTGCAAGCAAGGCTTCCAGGATCAAGAATTTTTGTAGGTATAACTAGTTACAGCCTAAGGGAGAAACAGAAGCACAAATAATATAAAATTTCTCTAAATAAATTTTTATGAAGGAAATGAAAGATTATCTTTTTTAAACGAGGAATGGAAAGAATTATTGCTAGGACGGTGAGCAAGTAGCGGAGTTGTAATTGCTCAGCTTTCATCCCCATCTCGACTGAGGTTCAGGGGATTAATGCGGATCCTGCCGCCACCGGGGGGCGATGCTCTCCCAAGTACTCCGGGAAAGACACAAATTCGCATTCCGGGCTATCTGCATTCCGCCCAGATGTTTGCATGAGCATGGGTCTGTTTGAAGAAGTTTCTAGAAGTAAGTTTTAAAAGGTAAGAATATTTTGGCAGCTAACTTTTAGTCACGTTCCTGGAATTCTTGAATCTTTGACAAAATTCAATTTAAAAATTAATTTAGAAACGACTGTGTCTTAAGGAACTGGAATGTTTAATGTATTCTCCTTGATTTCAGTTGATGAAGATTATTATTAAATATCTTATTCCTGCTTAAAACTCACAGATACTCTCATAAGACTGTCATGTTCCTAATCTTCATTGTCATTTTGTAACCATTAACCTAACATTAGTTAATGCTTCCCTATTTATTATCCACATACTTTTGAAGGAATTTATAATTTCCTACTCCTTGACTTAAAGGAAGAAAAGATAAAAGCTTTCCAAATGTTCAGAGTATATATATTATTTACCACTATGATTCTTCAGACCTTTTATCCAAACGTGTATTTCATTCCCTGTGAGTGCACTGGCATTGTATTCAGGACAAAACAACCTCGTTCCTGCTGCATAAAGCAGTTGGCTAGTGAGTATATCTGAATAGGATCAGAGAAATGGAGAAATTAAAAGAAAAGGGAAAGACCTGCCATTCAAAAAGTAAAAAATAAAATTTAAATATGGAGTAGTGGCACTATAAAACATGAATCTCTTATAAATCAAAACCCCAAAGATTTTGCCATTTACCTTTCAGTTTTGTTTACTGTTACTGTAACCTCTTAAATACCTCCCTCCAAAAATCTAATAAGGGATTAGAACAACAGGTATTTTAATCAATTTTAATCCATATGTATGCACACTTTTTCAGATTGGTAAAAATGCTTTGAACAAGTTATGGAAAGGACAATTCTATTCTATTTTAAATACCCAGTTTATTATTAAAAGAAAAGCATTCATTGCATGTTTTATAACTCTCTGTCTTTTTATAGTATCTATGTACATGGCCTAAGATCAGGAATAATCAAATTCAAAACACAATTTCAAGTCTTTAGTGATTAGTAAAGATTTCTGGCATTTGTAATGCTACTTGGTGTATATTGATCAATGCAGCCTATTCATTTAATGTGGTAGATGTAATTTGCTTCTGTTGGTCTAATTCTGTACAGCATTATCAGAACAATCTCTGAGAGGAGAAATCAAGATGATTTCCTAGGCACAAGTTTTAGGACACTGTATAAAAATGTCTGCGCCACGTCTCAAAATATTACCTGTCCCCATAGCTTCTGTTTTGGTCCCAGAACTATGGTCTGTCTTGGAGCTAATTTTCATACTACTGAGATAGTTACAGGTTGATGTCAAAAATCAGAAAGCTCTGTCATTCACTCATTGCTGCTTTCTAATCTTCTCTTGGTGCATAATTCTCCCCTCTTCCAGGAGTACCTTAGGTGAAAATGTAATTGTTTATTGTGAGTCTCTCAAAAAAAGAAAGGATTGAGTAACCCCAGTGTTATGACTGATTTGTGGTCACCAATACAAAAAGTTACAGAGCTGTGAAGAATGGTGACATTCCTCCACCTTGATTAAAAGATAGTCTTCTATCGTGTGGCTAAAACTGTTCCTGCTCTGTAACTCTGAATCTGAGGGAAACCCTGTTATTAGAATGAGGTGATTATGTGATATTGTTCTGATATTGTTCTGATGCGGCTGGATGCTGTGCAGGATTTTGGAAAAAACTCAGACATCGATTTCATACAGCTAGTCCAGATTTGCATCCCTGAATGAATGCAATGCAACTCCTCCTTCAAAGGTGTTAACAGTTTGGAGTTTGGATTCTCAAAGATGCTGGCAAATTTCAGTTCCTATGCTCTTGACTCTCCCTTTCACTATTGAGTGTATCATTCAGAGATACATATACATGAAAATTAAATTTCTGTATAGAATTCAGAACTGCACTTGTACAAAGAGTGAAAAAATTTTGAAAGGTCCATCCTTCTTTCTCTCTTACAATTTAAGTGATGACTTCTATTTGGTATTTGGAGAGACTATGCTGGGTATTATGGGTTTCTCTGAAAAACAGGCAGCCTCCTTCAAATGAATCCTGGAGCAAGGAAGGAGCACTCTAGGTTATTATCTGTAATATAGGGAAATTATGTTGCTTGCACAATGTAAAAGGAAATTTGGGATTCTTTTTGTTTACCTTGATGATATGAAGGAGAGGAGAACTATAAAAAAATAAAAAGGCAAAACAAAAAAAAACCTCAAAACCATAGCAGTGAGAGATAAGAATTACTTGCTGTTGTATCTCCAGGGTTGATATAGTTGAGATTGGTGTGATATATGTTAAGATAATAAAAGTATAAGTCATAATAATTTGTTATGGTGACATAGATATAAAAAACTCTTTTTTTAATGCAAAATTTTAATACCATGTTGTGTATTAACACACCATTATTTTACTCTAATAAACTGGGAAACTATTGGATACATAATGTTTTAAGCTAACAAAATATTCCAACAATTATTCTTTGACGAGCTATTAATTGAAGGCCAACTTATGGTACAGTAGGCAGCCTAGCCATGTGGAAAGCAAGAGGAAGGGAAGAAGGAAGTTTCATCAGCTGTGTCAGTATGTTTCTGAATTTCTGTTGAGCTCTGTAGGACTCTCTGGAGGAACTGAGGTCTGCTGGTGGGGTACTGCTGAATCTAGGGGGTAGCTTGGTGGGTTACCATCACACTGACAGCAGCATCTTCACTGCTGTCCAGAAAGGCATCATAGCATCACAAAATAAACTGTAGAAAACCACGTGATCCCTACTCAACAGCAGAAAATTTCAGTAGAAATGTTAAACCTGGGACCTAACAAATCTATTTAAACCTAGCTGGATTAAATTCCGGGTAAATTACTGACCTTTAAAGCCCTATAGTTGTCAAAGAGAGTGGAGGAGGTTGAGAAAAGTCTGCTCCCCACTTTCTGGGCACAGCCTTTGGCATACTATGTGCTGTGCTAGGGAGAAAATGTTTGCTATGGATGCAGAAAAACTGCCATCTCAGAGGGATT